CCCTCAGCAGCTCCGCGACCCAGAGACCGGGCTTGGAGCCATGTTCAGTGTCCCGTCTGCTCCGGAAGGACGCCCACCTCAGGGGCGAGCCTTGCACACCGCAGTGCCCGTGAACTTGAGCCGTTACCACACGGACTTCATAGTGTCCCCTGTTTGAACCCAGGTCCACTGGGAGGCTTGTGAAACTAGGAGGCAAGAAACTGGTATCGAAGCCAAACCCCTACCCTGTTTTACAGTCAAACAACGCCCTGACGATCGTGGCACCTTCCAACTGTACTCCGGGCACAAGAGCCCCATCACTGACCTGGACAAAAGCTGATTTAACTGTTCCTCTGCCCCACAGACGTCAGCACTGCTCAGTGACTCACACCTGCCACACTGTACACACAGTGCCACGGGGGGTTCCAAAGTGACAGGGCCCAGGCTCTGTTCCTAAATGAATCACTTCTGGCGACAGAAAAGTGACCAAATAACCACCACCAGCCGGCCTGTGGTGGGACAAAATGCTGTGGGTGCTCAGAGGAGAGATCAATGGCCAGCACCACGGAAGTAATAGCGAGAGAAGGAAATGAGAAGATCCATCAGAAAACCAACGGCCAACAGGCACCTGAAAAGGTATTCAACACCACTAATGACCAGGGAGATGCAAATCAAACAACTACAGTGAGGTATCACCTCACATGGGTCAGAATGGCCATCGTTAAAAAGCCTACAAATAACAAATGCTGGAGAGGAAGTGGAGAAAGGGGAACCCTTCCCAGACTGTTGGAACCCTCCTGAAACTGTGGGTATCCTCCTGAAACTGTTGGTGGGAATGTTAAGTTGGTGCAGTCACTACAAAGAACAGTATAGACGTTCCTTAGAAAATTAAAGAGTTTCCATATGATCCAGCAATCCCACTCTTGGCATTCATCCAGACAAAACTATCATTCAAAAAGATAATATACCCCTGTGTTCACAGCAGCACCATTCCATAGCCAAGGCATGGAAGCAACCTAAATGCCCATCAACAGATGAATGGATAAAGAAGGTGTGGCATATATAGACAGTGGAATATTACTCAGCCGTAAAACAGAAGGAAATAATGCCATCCGCAACCACACGGATGGACCTGGAGATGAGCATACTAAGGCAAGCAGAGAAAGACAAGTATCATATGGTATCACTCATATGTGGAATCGAGTAAAAAAAAAAAAATTATATAAAGAAACTTATCTACAGAACAGGAAGAGACTCGCAGACATAGAAAACATGCATCTAGGTCATCAGCCTCTTCCACTGGACAGAACTGCATACCCAGCGAGTGCAGGGAGGGGAGGCAACTGGCGCTGAAACCCAGACTCAATGCTGAGTCAGACACCGAAACAGCAAGAACCACAGGAACAAACAGCACAGACGCTAAGCAATTTCTAAAGGATGCCAGCGAGGGAAACATGTTCTAACATAACTGCTCTTAACCGCTCTCCTTTCAGAAAGCAGCGAACTCTAATCCGACTGCCTGAAAAGAACCTCAATTTACGTAACGTGTGCCTGGGACTTGCAGCATTCCCACGCCCCGCTCCCCTGTGCCAAGAAGAACTTCTGCCCTAATGTCCTGCAGTAAGTTGGAAAGGACATGGAGCCGTCCCCCCCAGATGCTCTTCCCGGGATTCTCTTCTGGAAGAGGCTGCCTTCTAACTGCGTGCATGTGTGTGCGTGAGTCTCCGTAATTAAGTCTCCCCAGACGGGTACTGAGATGTTCTGCACCTTGGCATCAACACAAATCCGGCACAACGCAGTAAAAGATGTGTTAATGTGACGTTTCTGTGCTGAATGCTGGTAGAAATTAAGATGGATAAAAGCACTCTGCTTAAAGATCCTTACAGGGTCTCAAGGAAATAAAACTCACAACCTAAATCTGACGGAGAGGAAACAAGAAAGAAGGTGGAAGGAGTGCCTGGGGAGGTGAGAGAGGGGGACCGCCCCCCCGCCCGCCCCCCATCCTCATACAAGAGCAAGTGTAACAGGCAGTGGGCATAAACTGCCAAGTCGGACAAGTCTGCCATAATCACGATAAGCTAAGACTCTTATCGACTCTTCCTAAAAGTGAAGTGTTTCTAATAATTACAAGAGTATCCTTCCGCCAGGTGAAGATTTTCGTATCATTGCATATCATATCCAAAATCACTGCAGATGGTGACCGTGCCCATGAAATTGAAAGACGCTTGCTCCTCGGAAGAAAAGCTGTGACAAACCTAGACAGCGGAATAAAAAGCAGAGACGTTATTTTGCCAACAAAGGTCCATATAGTCTAAGCTATGGTTTTTCCAGTAGTCACGTAAGGATGCGAGAGTTGGACCGTAAAGAAGGCTGAGAGCCAAAGGATTGATGCTTTCCAACTGTGGTGTTAAAGAAGACTCGAGAGTCCCTTGGATTGCAAGGAGATCAGACCAGTCAATACTAAAGGAGATCAACCCTGAATATTCACTGGAAGGACTGATGCTGAAGCTGAAACTCCAATACTTTGGCCGCCTGATGGGAAGAGCTCACTCAGTGGAAGAAACCCTGATGCTGGGAAAGACTGAGGGCAGGAGGAGAAGGGAGCAACTGAGGATTGAATGGCATCACCAACTCAATGGACACAAGTTTAAGCAAATGGTGAGGGACAGGGAAGCCTAGGATGCTGCAGTCCATGTTGTCACAAAGAGTCAGACACGGCTGAGTGACTGAACAATGACAACACAGCATACATCAGAAACATCTGCAACAAAACCATAAAACCGAATGAAGTGATTGCTACGGTGCAGAATTAATTCTCTGATAAAGACCCAGCCCAAAGATGGGACAAGACCAAGCCTGAGGGTGAACACAGCTGAGAAAAAAGACTTTACTGTGGTTTACAAATTGAAGAGAAGCCTTAAGTGTTCAAGACAATTTATGGAATTAGGATATTCACCAGTAACAGATGCTATTATTTCAAGTGCATGGGTGTCGAATTCTCTTATGTATTTATACTTCTATTTCCATCCTGCAGGGTAATTACCACATCCCAACAATAAACCGCTTCCAAAGGAAGGGACTTAGCATGCTGTCTGTTCAGAGCTGGGTTGTACTGAGGAGACGTTTCTGCCACCCGAATCCTTGCTCCTCTTGCTCCCCACCTCCCGGCCACCTCACTTGCTTTTATCTTCTGCACAGCCCTATTCCAGAATAACAGTCAGACAGACGCAGGTACTCGATTTACAGTTAGTTTGTTCACGATGGGCGACTGGACACAGTCAAGCTGCACATGCATCAGACGAGCAACCCCTTCCCAGGGCACAGACCTCAGGTTGCTGACGAGACCGGTGGTTCTGGTCCCCCACACCCGACCATGACATCAACTACCACCTCCCCTGGCTCCACCGCTGCCTTGGCCAGAAGACCCCATTGCGGCATTTATACAAACATCCACACAGCTCCGTACAGACGCCCAGAGAGGAGCCACACTAAGTGCCCCGTCCAGCAATTGGCAAACTGTGGTCAGTCGGTAATGACCATCACATCGTGTGGTTCCCAGACAGGGTTCGATAAAAGGGCCTGGTCCGAGCAGTCCGAGTCTGCATTCTGATGGCCTCATTCACCCAAACACCTTAAAGGCCCGCTTGCGCTGCGTGACAATGGGTGGGGAGGGGTCCATTCTCCTGACCCACAGGAAGCTTCTCTGTAGTTACATGCTAAGCAGCTGCTCATCACATAATCTAAGTAAGGGCTGTCATCTCAGGATACCTTTTTCCTTCCCCCCAGAAATTTACTTAGACAATGTGATGTGATTAGTCGCTCAGTCATGTCCGACTCTTTGCAACCCCATGGACTGTAGCCCACCAAGATCCTCTGTCCACGGAATTCTCCAGGCAAGAATACTGGGAATGGGTTGCCATTTTCTTCTCCAACTTGGACAATAGAAGTTAAAAAAAAAAAAGCATATGGCATAACTGTGGGTGCTAAGTCGCTTCAGTTGTATTAGACTCTTTGCAACCCCATGGACTGTAGCCTGCCAGGCTCCTCTGTCCACGGGATTCTCCTGGCAAGAATTCTGGAGAGGGTTGCCATTCCCTTCTCCAGGGGATCTTCCCAATCCAGGGATCAAATCCGCATCTCCTATGTCTCTTGCACTGGCAGGTGGGTTCTTTACCACGAGTGCCACCTGGGAAGCCCAAGATGGCATAATTAACTATAACTATTGTATCTAAATATATCAGTTGTGTTGAGATATGTCAAAGGTTTGAATGTGCAGAAGAGGAAAGCGTTGGCCAAAAAGTTCACTTGGGTTTTTCCATCAGCTGTTGAGACAAACAGAACTAGGAATACAATTAATGCTTATTTCAAATCATAGGTATCATCAGACAGAAAACAGACCTGAGTTTCTTTTTGGTGAAGTAAAATATTTCGCCTGATTGGAATTTTAATTCGTTCAACTTTCTTGAAAACCATAAAATGAAGATGCCAAGTGTCTGCAGGGACGTTCTGCAGTCAGTCAGGTAGGGTGTTCGGGGAGAGAAAGGAATCCATGTCCCTGTCCTCGGAAACACCTCAACGTTTTCTGTTCCCTTTGGTACTGAGCCGACTGCTCGATTCCCATGATTGACTGTGAGATGAAATATATTCCCCTGTGATTTCAAGCCAGATTTCCTTGGGGATTCATTTTGTCCACCCACCAGTCAGTTGTTCTGCTTCTACCCGCGGTCACCCTGGGGTCTGATACAAAGGGCTCCCGGGCCGTTTCTATTTTTCCCAGAAACGCAAGGACAGATGCTTGCAAACTAAAAATCACTCAAGAGAAAACAGATGTTCTTTCCCCTCTCCCAGAATCAGAAGCTGCAGCTGTTCCAGGACAACGGGGAATGCGTCTGATGACTTCCAAACGGCCACGGAAGCTGGGAGGGTGGCTGTCACCGCGTGGGCGTGGGTGGAGGGGACACGGGGCTCCCCCCACGTGGTTGAATGACCGCACAGATCAGCGCAGTGCAATGAGAGCCCCACTAGGCCAGGGGTAGCAGGCGGCTCACGAGGGCGAAGGACACCCTGGTCCCCGCACGTGGGAGTCCATCTCCCACGATGGGAGTACCATCTCCGAACAAGGCAGCGAACGTGGATGGAGGGAGAGTGTGCAGGCCGAGGTCCGGGCTCCAGTGTGGGGGAAAGGCCCTCCTCGCAGAGCTGGGGGACATGGGACAGGCTGCCGCTGCCAGCTCTTCACACAGCCAAAGTCAGTGACTAAACAACCAAGGACTCCGCAGGCCCGGGACGGGCTCTGCCTCGCGCCCTCTGGGCGTGGCCCGCCATCTGGCCACTCTTGCAGAACTCTAGGGCTCCCCCGTCCGCAAAATTGGGGGGAAAAAAAATCCAACATCTGGGAAACAGCCGCTCAGAGGAGGTTCGAGAGAGCTGTGCATCTGCTCACGTTTAGGAAAACGTGCATGAATTTCCTCCCTTTTCACAGACTCTACCTTCTCATAGCCACGCTGCTCACGTGGAATCATAAGCCCCAAGCCCATTTTCTTTAGAGAATATAGAAAATTAACTGGAGCCAACAAATAGTGAACACAGATGGAAGGAGCACAGGAACGGGGCAGATATTTGGAAGTAACTCTGAAATCAACTGTGTTTAAGAGTTTGAGCCAAAAAAAAAAAAAGAGTTTGAGCCAAAAACCTAAGGAACTGACCCAGAGGATTCGCAAACACACGATAAAATGGACAAATCAGATCACTTCCTGGCACAGAGGCCACGCTCCCTTCCAAGTTTTAATACACTGAGAGTCTAACGTCGTCAGGTCGAGCACTTCTAGAACCAGCAGGCATTTTCCAGATTCTTCCCAACCCCACCAAGTTCAGGCACAGGCACGGCCAAGGGAGGCAGGTGGGCAGCGGCCACCCTGCTAGGCCTCTCCTTGCGGGTGGGCCGTTCACCCCAGATTAGGAGTCGAGATCTCTGAGGATTGCAGAGATGGAGGCAGGAGTGCCTGCCCACCTACCAGGCTTGCATGTGCGCGGCCCCAACGCTGGGCAATAGCAGGTGGCCCTGCACGAGAAGCAGGGGCCCAGTAGGGTCCGGGCAGGGCAGAGAGGCCCAGGCAGGCCTGGGACGGCTTCTCCGACGGTACCTTCATCCCTCGGTTACACTGTCTACTTGGGGAGGAAGCAATGAACAAAATGCAAACTGCACCCCCGCTGGGGCTGAGGAGCCCTTAGAAACAGCTTTGGCAAACCTTTATGAAAAAGTGAGACAAAAAGATTTTAGGGACTTGTGGTATTAATCACCCCACCACCAAGCCCCCAACAGCTTCTGTCCGTTAAGATTTTAAATCCACCGTAGATTTCTGCTCTCGTGATCTCTGTGTGTTGTGCTAACTTATTATCTTGCGTTTCCTACAGAACAAGGCATGCACGAATAATTCACAGCTTATTTCCTCTCAAATCCCATGGTCTCACTCACAAAACTACTGGAAAATAAAACTGTTTAAAACATGAACATGTTATTTCATTAATTGCCTTTTATTTCATGCTTCATAGTCCTTTAAACCACCAACAGTGAAAGGAATGCTTTTCTCAAGACGGCTAAATAGCAGGAGACCCACAGAAAGTTGCTGCTTCGTGTCAACTTGGCGTCTCCAGACTTATGTTCTCCACCACACTTGTCTCCTAAGGCTCATCCTCCAAGTGCTGACTAGAGAGCTACTTTCAGAGGGATCTGTCGGGTATTTCACAGAACTGAAATTTATCGAGCGAGAAACACAGAGAGACAGATGGTAAAGAACCCGCCTGCGACGTGGGAGACCTGGGTTCAATCCCTGGGTTGGGAAGATCCCCTGGAGAAGGGAAAGGTTACCCACTCCAGTATTCTGGCCTGGAGAATTCCATGGACTGTAGAGTCCATGAGGTCGCAAAGAGTCCGGCACGACTGAGCAACTTTCACTCACTAGACTTTCAAGTCACACCTCAATGCCCTCTGGTGCCCGCACCTTTTCTTACTATCCACGATAAGTAGAACTGTATACACATGTCAGACGAGCCAAGAAACTTGTCTTTCTAGAAAGAGTCTTGTCATTCACGTTACTGCTTAAACTTTGAAATGAAAATAGAAGGGGAAAAAAAAAAGAAAGGGAAACCACAACAGAGGGTTCCAACAATATTTATATCACATTATTCACACCTCTTATGTGTGGTTTGAAACTCTTGAGTCTCTAATTAACCAAAGTGATGAAACACAGTTTTCAGGGACGGGTGGGGTTCACGGGCACAGCGCCAGTGGAGTCCCCGAGGTGGCCCGTGGCTGCCGTCCGATCCCCTGGGGAGATGCGGAGTCGTGGCCCGCTGAGCCTTTCCCGGGTCCGGATCCAGAGCCTTTACCTCCTAGACGGTCAGAGCTCGGTACGTAAACCACACACGCTGGCACCAGACTCGTGAGAGTCGACAGCAACCCCATCAACAGTGTGTTCCGCCCCACCGCCCCGATACAAGCAAGAAGGGCAGGAGACTCTGTGCAACTTGCCCCCGAAGCAATAATGGCTCTGAGGGACCAGAATGAGGCCCGCTGTGCAGTGAGTGACAGACACAGGCCCGCAGCGGGCTGACCATGACTTCAAGACCACCATCTCAGTCAGGGGAACGCCTGTCCTCAACCCGGAGAAAGCGCCCAGGCCTGCCTCGCACTCCACTCGTTCCTAAGCCCCGCGTGGCTATCCGACGAGGCAGAGCCCCAGCCCTGGCTGCAGACAGGAGGGAGAAAGTCTCGGGGCTCCGACACGCGTGCACGAGCTGTGGGTGGAGGCTGAGCTCAGGCTGACGGAGGGCGCATGTCTGTCTGGGCACCGCTGACCACAGCTTACCTCCGCGGGAGTCTGGCGGGGCGGGGGCCATGAGCCCATTGTCCATCGGGCTGAGAGGGAGACATGGATGGGAACCAAAGGATCTTCTAAAGGCAAGTTCTTAGCACAAGATGGCCCCAAGGTCCCTGCAATCAAAGAAATCATTGTGGCTTTGCCTGTGGCATATGTGTGCCCCTTTTCCTTTGGGACAAGTCTGTCCCCCTCTGAATGGAGCTCCATTTTCAAAACACAAACTGTCCAGAAATACCACTCCACCTAGGGGCGGGGCGAGTTAAGGGGGCAAGAAAAAGGCAAGTGGTCTCGAACGCCACAATTCAGAACAGAAAGCAAGCCTAAGAGCATTTCCTTCTCAAAACAGACCCAGAAATCAACTGTTACTTTTAAAGAACCAACCGTTTTCTACCAAACATTTCAACACCTGCAAACTCCTCCTCATCACAGCCGTTTAAAAAATATGACCAATAATGACTCCCAAATCCACACGGCTCTCTATACCAGCCTGCTTAAAAGCAGGGGGAAAAGGCTTCTATAATAAACAAAAAACGTGGGTGGTTAGCTTCAATAAGCACTGGTCTATAGCCAACCTCACCACGGGCTGATCTCCACTGATACCCATTTATTTCTACACGGAAAAGTCATTAGATGGAATTGAAGCATATAATCAGAAAGACAATCTCACACTAAGGCAACGAACAACCATCAAAATCCAGGCAACTAAGTTAAAGACCTAAACCAGTGTAATGATGCTTGGTCTACTTAACAGGTTAAAGAAACTGCTTTTAGCAACTCAACCTGCAGCAGGCAAACAGCCACCCAACGCCAAGACACCAGTAATTCCCAGGCTTCCCAGGTGGCACTGGTGGCCAAGAGCCTGACCGCCAGTGCAGGAGATAGAAGAGACTCAGGTTCGATCCCTGGGTCGGGAAGATCTAGAGATGGGTATGGCAATGCACTCCAGTACTCTTGCCTGGAAAATCCCATGGACAGAGGAGCCTGGTGGGCTACAGCCCATAGGGTTGCAAAGAGTCGGACACGACTGAAGCAACTGAGCATGCACACACGCAAACGCACAGCTAGCAAAGCTGTCTGCATATGCTCTATAGCATGTCGCATCCCAAGCTCCTTTACTTCAAAAAGAATTCCTCTTTCCTTCAAAGAAATGCCTGAGGATATTTGCTACCTGCCACCAGCGTAATGCGACTAACAGACATCAGAACACTCTCTCTGATCATCTGTGCATCAAGCATACGGAGACAAGAGCAGGGAAACCTACTCATGAGGAGTTTAATAAATCTACGTTTCAGACATCCAAAGAGGAAGGAGAAGAAAGTCACATACAGATCAATTTACTTCTTTAAAGATGAGTCATCACGGGAGGGGACAAATGGATAGGCTGATCCGTGTTGATGTACAGCAGAAACCAACACCATATTTTAAAAGAAGAAAAAGAAAGAAAGTGAAGCTCCTCAGTCACATGCGACTCTTTGTGGCCGGTTGGACTGTAGCCTACCAGGCTTCTCCGTCCATGGGATTCTCCAGGCGAGAGTACCTGAGTGGGTTGCCATTTCCTTCTCCAGGGGATCTTCCGGACCAAGGGATCGAACCTAGGTCTCCCACATTGTAGGCATACGCTTTACCCTCTGAGCCACTAGGGAAACCCTTTAAAAAGATGGATTGTCACGACTGGGACAAAAGGACTCTCAAACGTACCGGTAAAACCTTTCAATTGTATACGTAGGTTTTTTGAAAACATCTCAACCACTCCAACCCTCTTGAAAGGACCAGGAGCTAACTAACTCTTCAGGAGTCAGTCCTCCAGACCCCGAGGGGTCTCAACTGTCAAACCAAAAGGCAACAGCATCACAAAGGCCCCACCCCAGGATTCGAGGGAACAGAGCATCAGGAGCCAGCTGTCAGGAAGGGGACGGGCTCGGGCAGTGGGGAGGCGAGCGCCGCCTGGCGTTCCACCCTCGGCTGAAGAAGCAGGCCGGCTGGGCCACCGGGCCCACAAAGCCACCAGGGGATTCCTGGCAGAGATGAGACTGCGTGCGGGCAAAGCAGTGGGAGGGATAGGGCGGCCGGGACCAGGGCTCCAGGGCCGCGTGGGGGGCCCGCTGCCCAGCCCCATGGGGGTCTTGGCAGCACAGGCGAGGCCTCTGGGTCTGGGTCGACGTGGGCCTGGCTCCTGGATCAACTCCGAGTCCACATGGTCCTCATACGTGCGCCACAGAAGGGGCCATCAGCTCTGCCTCAAGAGCAAAGAAAACCATTTCCCCGTGCCAGGCATGAACTTCTCCCATGGGACTACCCAGGGAACCAGGGGGCAGTAAATAAAACTTCAACACGGCCACAATAAGGTCCTGTGGAGACGACATCTTCCAGCCTGAGAACCAAGGCAAGAGCGCCAGGGTGACCCTGGGCCGGGGGCCTGCAGGCCTGCCGTCTGGCCACCTGCTCAAGCTTCCCGAGGGGTCTCCACGGATAGGCTGACCCGCGAGCAGATGCCGGGTTCCATGGGATGCTGGTGGCGGGCACTGCAAACACGGACATGTCAGCCGTCGGGGCGAGCCCCGCAGCAGCGACCCGGCTGGAGGCACCCTGCCAGATGGCCGGGCCACGCAGCCTGTGGCTCTCCCACCTTCCGTCCCGGCCCCGGGGCTCCGGGAAGCCCGCCCTCCTTCCAGCTCCAGAGGAAAAACCCTGTTTGGTGGGAGGCGCGAGGTGGCTTCTCCAGCCGAGGTTTTCTGCTCGAGAGAACAAAAGGGTGAGGCTGGGAGCCTCCCAGGTCCCTTTCTGCTCTAATAACCTACGATATTCTAGCAATTTCTCTGCACGAGACATGTTTGTTTTTTAAATAATTTTACTTATTCATCTAATTTTTGAATGTGTTGGCTCTTCATTGCTGCATGGGCTTCTCTAGTTGCAGACAGCAGGGGCAACTCTCTGGTTGCGATGTGAAGGATTCTCATTGCCGTAGCTTCTCTTGTTGTTGGAACCCGGGCTCCAGGGTACGCGGGCTCAGCCGCTGTGGCTTGCAGGGTCTAAAGCACACAGGTTCAAGTGTTGTGGTGCAGAGGCTTAGCTGCTCCGTGAACTGAACCCATGTCTCCTGCATCGGCAGGTGGATTCTTTACCACTGAGCTACCAGGGAAGCCTTATTAAATGGCAAGCCATGCTGAATCACACAGAAAAA